TACGTTTACAGCCCTTTTCATCTTCTAAATAATGTCCATTTTTTTTAAAATTCTTGATGAATATACCCTTCTCACTTCAAGAGTGTTACCAAATTCTCCATCCTCGTTTTTGCATGTATTTCCATCCATCTAAACATTCTCGTCAAACTAGACAAAGTTGACGAGAATGTGTAGTGCATTTAGACACACACACAATCTTCCTTTTTGCACGGTATCGAAACATCTAGTCATTCTTGTCAAACTAGGCAAAGTTGATGAGAGTTTCTAGTCCATTTAGACACTTCCTTGTCAACTTTGCCTAAATTTGCTTAGATGACATTTTAATTAAAGGGCAATATAATTATTTTACATGACTGAATGGCCATATTTGATAAAACTTTGGAGGGAGACAAATTTCAAGTCAGCACTATAAAAGTAAACTAGTTGGAAAAATTTCTCATTCATATGGCTAGTAGAGTGTGATTGTACTCTCTGATGATTATTATTATTGGTTTAATTTGGAGAGGACTGTGTTATTTTGGTATCAGTGAACTCTTAGAAAAATCTGAATCGTGAAAGTTGTTTCGCTTTTAAAAAAAATTGAAAATCGCTCAATTTAAATTCAGTAGTAGGTTTAGCCCCAAAGAAGATTAATCTAAAATTGAACATGGGATATCATGTTATTCGATTGCTAAATGAAAATATGACGATGGTTCAGATTCACCTTTCTGAAGAGTTTTTGAAACACAAATTGGTGCTTGGGTGTTGCCTTGTTCTTTTCCTTACTTTAGAGTTAGTGAAAGAAGTATCTTGTAGTTGCAAACTTGGTGGGAAAACATGCTTTATGAGTTATCATCTAGTGAGACGAAGGTGGCATGTGAAGATGGATTGGTCTCCCTGATCTTGTGCTTATTTCTGTAGTTCCTGGTCCTATTTCAAATCTTTCTTTGGTCCATGAAAAGTATAAAGTACAAAGTTGAGGCTACTATTCACCTTCTTGGAGAATTTGATCTTATTGTGTTGTCCTCCTTAACTTTGGCATGAGCTTGATGGTTGTACAAGAAAGTATGGGTAGTGATCCAAAAAAAAAAAGAACTTATCTCAACCTTGTATTCTTTCTGCTGGTAAGGTTGGAGAACTTTATTTGAGGAACATACCAATGTGGCGCTGAACGTTTGCATAAGACTTAGATATTGAAAGTAATATAGTAGACATTGTTACTCAAAACATAAAATTTCCAGCTATAGGCTAACTGTCTCTACCACAGTTATTATAGCTACATAATATAAGAATATGCACACAAAAACAACAAAATTAGGAAAACCTAGTAAATTACCTTTATAAAAACTTTCTCAAAAATTTATTGTAAAAAAAGAGAAATGAATTTCATTTGGCGTTGAAATGTAGAACATGCCATATGCAATTGCATTTCATAATCTAAAATCAAATCTTTTTGAAAAATAAACATCATCTAAAACCTTATTCTATTGTCTCAGTCTTTTTTCTCTCTGTGATCCTGCAGATGCCTTTGTAATCATCCATCTATGCCTGAAGTGTATTTCCTTGTACAATAAGATATACCTTCTGTACTTCTACTGTATATGTGATAGTTGTATGTTAAATTTCTCGGCTACCCCATTGCATACATTCTGCACAAAATTTTATCTTATGAAGCGTGAAACTAGGTTAATGTTTAATAATCTTTGACAACTTTGGAGTTCCTGCAATTGCTTTGAAGCCATAAATAATCGTGTTGTGGAGCCTTGAAAATATTTAATATTCATCTTCGAGTGCATTTTCCATTAAATTATTTTTTGATCCCTGAAGTATATCACTTGTTGCATCAATCTGCCAGGTAATGTAATATTGTTGCTATATATACTTGGTTAAATATGAGTGATTGCCTGACTCTTAACTACCATACCCCAATCTTTACTCGGGAAAAACTGAATCTTGCAAATGAGTATAATTTTTGAATGAAAGTATTTACATAATACAGAAAAAAGGTAGTCTATTATGGAGACTTGAATTAGGAGATGGTCTATAGAAAACTGCTGCCTCCAATGTGTGCATCATCCTATTGAAGTGGAGATGAAGTGATTTTCAGACCAACTCTTTTTCTTTTGCACTGTATGGGACTGAAATCTGTTCATGTGACTTCATTTCCAGCAAAATCAATTATCATGATATTTTCTCATCTGCGCTATATCAGGTGGGGCTCTGGATTTTCGGTGGAGTCCTGAATGTGGATGCTGTTACTGCTGCAATTCTCGGATTGTCTGTCCTCCTTATCACTGGAGTTGTGACATGGAAAGAGTGCTTGGCTGAGGCAGTTGCTTGGGACACCCTTACCTGGTTTGCAGCACTTATTGCAATGGCTGGATATCTAAACAAATATGGTCTTATCTCCTGGTTTAGCCAAACTGTCGTTAAGGTTTGCTTCTACATTCCATGCCTTTCCTAAATTGTTGGATGTGCTGGTGCATTTTGAGTTTTTTTTTTTCTTTGGTAAAGAAAATACAAACGAACTTGACATCCTAGTGTTTTTAACCGGCATAAAGCTTTCATATACTATTAATGGTGACTGCTGGGACATTAAAGGCCAAAATTTAATTTCCATAAGTTGGGAGTAGAGGAATTATAGTGTTAATGGATGTTTGGCCAAACTAGAATTCGTAAGATAAGAAAAGATAATATTAACCACCAAGCAGATTTGGCACCAATAGAGTATAAATTAAGAGAAGGATGAGTTAAGTGGGTGGTAAAATCTAGCATAAAGGAGCTTCTATTTTACAAAAGTGGTTGTGATCCGTGTAGAACAGGTTAGGAAATAGAGAAGTTTATCAAAATTAGCATAGCATTCAGTAGTTGCAAAGAAATTGATTGTATGGATCTTCTAATAGATTTATTGATGGATCAAACAGAGTGGCCAAAAAGTATACATATAACTGACCTCAATTTAGTGCATGTTTGTCAAAGCTTATAATTGCTTATAAGTTGGTCAAACTTTATTCTTATCCATATATTTTGTAGGATCCACAATTTTCATTTACTTTTTAACAACACATTCTGTAGGATTCATTGTTTATAAGCAATTATAAGATTTGGCAAACATACACTCACTTGGAATATGGTGAAGTTTATTATTGTTTTTGTTTAGAAACTACTAAAATACTTATTGAGTTCCCATCTCCCTCAAAGATATTAAAAGATATCCTGTTATCTAATGTAAGATGGAAAATCTTGTTATCGAATGTAACCAATGTATGCTATGAAGTTCAAATAATTTACTTGAGACCCCCATATAACCTTTCTAATTCATATCACTGTATTTGTCATTAGTTGTTTACACTTCTACTATAAACAAAGGAAAAGATTTTCAATAATATATCTTAGGGTTTCTCATTGCCCTCCATCCATTTCTTTTATAATTTCTCTCTCAGGCTATGCAACTCAGTACACATGAAAAATTGCATCTACTTTTTATGGAGTTCCATAGTTCTCATATGACTGATCGTTTCATTCCATGATTGCTAGTTTCACTTGTTTATATTTGCTTTTTTGGCAGTTTGTTGGCGGATTGGGTCTTTCATGGCAGCTATCTTTTGGCATTCTTGTTCTTCTTTACTTCTATTCTCACTATTTTTTTGCTAGTGGGGCTGCTCACATCGGTGCTATGTTTACAGCATTCTTATCCGTAGCTAGTGCTCTCGGTACTCCATCATACCTTGGAGCCATTGTTCTCTCCTTCCTTTCAAATCTTATGGGTGGCATCACCCATTATGGTATTGGATCAGCACCCGTGTTCTATGGTGCTGGCTATGTGCCACTAGCGAAATGGTGGGGCTACGGATTCCTGATCTCTGTTGTCAATCTTATAATCTGGCTCGGAGTTGGAGGGATATGGTGGAAGTTTATTGGGTTGTGGTAGACACACTGATTAAGCTGATTGGCTAATCCATTTTTCGGGACTCATTCTATCGCTGTCCATTTGGTAAGATTTTTGCGAGAAGTGATACTGTCGTTAATATCATTATATTGATATGAGTTCTTTAGTAAATTCGAATTGATTTGAAAAATCCATCCATATAATAAAATAGAGATTTGAAGTTTGGAAAAAATCTTATTAATCTCTTTGACATTAGTGTTATAATTGTGAAATGTTGCATACGATGTAGTTGAGTTATTATTGCTTGTATAAAAAATTTTGAGAAGATGAATCTAGACCGTAGATCCATTCATTTGGACAAGAAACGATAGATCTCAGATGTTTATACTTGACAATTGTCGTGATAGATATGTATTAACTGTGTAGTTAGTTAATTAGAATTGTCGATCCTGACAATTTATTTATAGTTCTATGGATAACACGGGTGTTCAACTAATGTACGTCATCCACCTATACCGCCAACCAAACGTCGACGAGTTGAAAGTGCAACTGATATATGTCGTCCACCTATACAGCCAACCAAACGTAGGCGAGTTGAAAGTGCACAAAGAACGAAGAATCACGTGTAGTTTATATAGTTAGTTCTAGCGTAACAAACGTGCTTGAGATCATTTTGGTGATCACTCGATACAATTAATTTTTGGAATCGTCTTCAAGAAATGAAAATTATATAAATCTATATTCAATATTTATGTAAGATTAGACGAACAAGAATCACCTCACAAATTAAATGAATCTCTATTTTTTCAAGTGAAAATTATCTCCTTATTTAAAAATCAATTTAAGCAACTATTATAATAATAAAAGTGGAAGACTAAGGCCCCGTTCTCTTTACCGTTTTCAAGCCGTTTTTTATTTTCGATTTTTCAAAATAGTGAAAATACGTTCTCTTTTCTATTTCCGAAAACGCATTTTTGAAAAAAAAAAAAATTTGTACTGAAAACACAAAACATCATTTTTTCGTTTTGGGCATTTTCAGTACAAAACGCCCAAACAAATGGAAAACATGGGAAACACTCAAAACGTAAAATCCCGTCTTCTTCCCATCCCCAAAAAATGGAAAACGCCGAAAATGGAAACCATCTCTTCCCTCTTTTTCCAATCCCGTCTCTTCCTCCTCTCTTCTCGAAGTCGGCAACCCACTCAAAAACTGCAACCGGCACGGACGCGGGCGTGGGGAGGCGACGCTACTGTGAACGCAGCATCGTGGCCATGGGTGGTGGTGTATGTGCCGGCACTGGCCATGGGTAGAGGCAGCTCTCACTTAACAGGGAACAAAAAGTCAAAAGAAGGTAGCCAAACATTCGTCTCTGCGAAGGTTGGATTTGCATTTCGTCCCGAATCTTTTGCTCTCTTGATAGAATCTCTCTCCAACTCAAGGCAAATTATTATTGTTGTTGCTGTAATTATTTGCCAAGCTTTTTTGTTATTATTTTTATATTTTTGGGTATAGAAAGATTTTGTGCTCGTATTGATTTATTCCGGAGCATATGATGAGATCTGAAATTCGATGTGTCATAGATCCATTATTTGAGGTCTTTTTGAGTAGTAGGTTAATGGAAGGGTTCGATTTCGTAATCCCAATGTCACTGATTCTTTTAGGTCCGATCTTTTTTTTTTTTTTAGCATAATACATTACTCGATCTATCCATCTATCCTACGCCTTTACAGATTTGCTCTTTCCTGTTGTCACTTATCTATTTCGTTTGAATTTAGCCTGTCTGTATGTATTGTTGCATATTTAATGAGCATATTTGGATTTCCAGTTAAGGTTTATTGGGATGTTTATGCTTGGCTGTTTGGTAATGTTATGGGCAATGCAGTTTTCTTGTTTCGAATTCAACTCTCAACCGAGAATGAAAAGTTCTGGGCTCACCAGTCTCCTCTTCCAGTCCCTCTGTGTTGAACTGGGATGGTTCACATAAATTCAGTGATCCTCAATTGCAAGATAAGGGATTTTCATTGATATTGTGTGCTTAGAAGAATGAATAGTAAGTGTGTTTATGCTTTCAGACTTCGTACTTACGAATAAATAAAAATATACTTGGAGTGATTATGTTTTCTCAAGTTTGTGATCTGGTAGTTCTTGCAGAGCTTACATGTTAGTACACATGGTGTGGAACTTGAAGAATACTCAAAGTGTCTAATTTACATTACCAGTTTGGATGTGGTTTAATGTCCAATAGATATTTTGCTAGTCTTCAAGTCAATCTTGAGATAACTTGATTTGTATATTTACCGCTTAAAAACACTATTATCGATCGTAATGGGTAATATTATAGAATATTGTTTACTATATTGTTAGTCCTTTCTAATCCAAAGACATTTTGAAGATGAGTAATGCTACTTGCAGTCGCTCACTGCACCAATCGCCATATGTGACACACACATGATATGTAATTATTTGATACATTAATGTAGTAGTTTTTTGACCACATTTAATGCATCAAATACACACTTGACATGTGTATACCACATAGGGCGACTGCTGCAGTGAGCAACTGCAAGTAACATTATTCTTTGAATATCTGCATATGAGGAAGTGTTGGGTTGGAATCGTTATTTTTGCATATATGTTTTCTTGCTTGTTGCAGTTGGATAGTTTGTTCAAAGACAAGGAGTCTGGCAAGTTGTTTTACTAGTAAAAAATGTAATTTTGAAAGTCATTTCAATAAAATAAGCTACTTTAAAAATAAGATTAATTTACTTTTAAGATGCTCAAGTCCCTTTAACTGACTTAAGTTGTTACTACTTAAAGGGCAATAGGGATTGTGCAAGCTATGAGAATTTGGATTTTTCNATAAAGGACCAACAAAAAGGGCTGCTGATACAATAAAGAAGCTTTTGTCTATTGTTACCAAGATTTCTTGTGATGAGGATGGTGAAGACAGAATTATTCCACTTAGTTGCTTAAAGAGAAGCTTTTGGTGTTGTAGAAACCATTGATCCATCAAAGTTGGAATTTTTGACGGTGTATTTCCTGTATTTTCTTAATCTCTTAACAGAACTCTCTACTTTAAGTGTTTGGTTACATGTTATTTGTTTCTTGGTGTTTTTCTCTTGTATTGTGTGAAATAAAGTTGTTAATTATAATAAATCTTTCAGTGACGAGCACTTTACACTCCAAACAGGATCTTATGTATAGTATCTATCCATTGTAATTTTAAGGATGCTTACAAGAATTAGTCACTATCTATTAATCTTATGCCTTTTGACTACTTCGATCTATGATGCTGGTAAAGTAATTAATTGTCAACCTTGATTCGATATATGGTAATGGGGAGACGTCGCTTAAGGTTGCTAAGCTCGCTCCAATGCCTCGATTTCATTTTTTGATTTTGTTGAGTTGAACTAAAGGCAAGCTATACATGAGGCGTTTCGATAGAATTGACGTTGTTAACCTTAATTTTCTTGCTAAAAAATCTGAAATTATATACATATAGTTGGAAAAATAATTAAGATTCACCAACTTCATATATGTTATTTAGTATTATATTAATATTAAATTATTAAAATTTACTAAATAATCAAATTTCTTGAATAAAATATTATAAAAAAATTATCAAAATTTCAAAGTAAACGCGTTTTCCATTTTTATGTTTTCGGAAACAGTTTTTCAAAATGGTAAAAAGAACGCATTTTCAGAAATTTCAAAACAGACACTCAAAATACAAAACGAATTCAAAACACAAAATTGAAATACAAAGAGAACGACCTCTAATTTGCTATTCTAACTTAGCTCCGATTTGGTAGGACTTAAAATTCAAATTTTAATACAAATCAACATCAATAATCAATTTTAGCCTATGTTTGACTCACATTTTTTCAAAACTCATTTTCAACCACATTTTTTTAATAAAATAATATTTTCGATCATATCAATAATATTTCCTTACTTTTTAACCACGTATCATTTCACTATTTGAAATACATTCTTTACTCAATAATATCCATCAAACATATCCTTAATCCGATATTTCATATCATTTTTTTTATCAAAATTTATTAAAAATTTAATTTTAATTCTCACCAAACAAATGCCAAATATGACACATAGCCCCTGTTTGGCCCCCATTATTTTTTATTTTTGATGGTTGAAAATTTTTTGAATAGTGATTGATAGGAAAATGTGTGGTGGAAAAGTAATGAAAAGTTTTAGATTTTTTGTATAATATTATTTTATTTGATAAATGTGTGATTGTAACGAAGAGAGTGAAAAATTTAATGTAATATAATGGAGGCGGTGCATAATTTTCCCAAGCAAAAGTATTATTTCAGGAGAACCTAAATTCATAGGTCACTTCTACCCCAAGTCGTCACGAGCAAGTGTACGCGCCCAATTCTGTGCAAAAACCTAGCGTCATCCCCTCGCTTTCTGGCAGAGGAAGATTTACCGGAGAATCCACAGATCCCATTGCAAAACCTAAGGAATGTTTTACAGAGGGTAAGAGTTTCTGTACTGTGTATTTTTTTTTTCATCATCGTTGTTCAGTATCTATAGATTGAGCCAAGTTTTTTTTTTTTTAAACTTGAAAAATGATCTGGGTTAACAGCAAAAACGAGTACACGTACGATCTTTTTAATGCCCTAGTTCCAATTGATATTTATTAATGGCGCTAAATATAATTATGCGTGCTTATTTTTTTAGGTTTATATTTTCTCTGTATCTGATAATGGGTTTAATTATTTTCACTACTTGAGATTCCGGTTAATTTTTATTATTTTTTCATGAATTCAGTAACAGGGACACCCAATTTGGTGAAACCAAATAAGCATTATCGTTATCTCTATATTCTTTAATTAGTGTGTTATTAGTCACCTGGTTATCTTTATATTTATAAATGACTGGCGAAATATGAAATGTTTACTCAAGATTAGCTAGTTTTGATCTACAGCCTTTATGAAATCTTGAAAATTGGGGTAAAAATTATCCAATTTAAGAAGGAAAAAAAAAGAAGAAAAATTGCATTTTCAGTTCTGATTTCTGGAATAAAATGTAATTATGGATCTGAATATCGTTCTTGTGTTTAGAATGAATTGGAAAGTAGGTTTTTTCAACAGATTTAGTATATGAATTATAGTCCTGCTTAGATTTTATTTCTTATATTTAAAATGAAATGAATTTCCATTTCCATTAGTTCTTAATAGTTGCAAATATAGAATTTGGTTTTACTTTAGGAGTAGATTTTTATGTCCCTGGTATTTTTGGTTTTTGTGTGTACCAAACAGGTTTTAAGGCTCTTAGTCAAATGATTGTTACACGGAGTTTGTCATAAATTATGATTACCTTAATGCCACATTTGTTTTGGGGAATCTTAATCTTTTTTCTTTCTTTTTCTCTTTTGGGTTCGGAAAGAATAATAATCATATGCTAATTCATGAGGGAAAAAGAAAAAAAAGAATTGTGGGTTTGTTCAGATAAAGCATACCACACATTGTGTTGATGGATTTTGATGTAGTGCTGAAATAGTGAGTTTCTTTGTGTTTGTATGGCAATAAAGTAAATATATAGACAGTGGAGATGCGCGAGAGATGGGTTTGAAACGGCAGCGATTGATGGATCAGGGCTCTTCATATTATGGGACTCCTCCTGGTCCGAGTTACATGTACAATACTCCACCTCCACCGCCTCCGGTGTATTCATATGTTCCCCCGCCTTTCCCTGTTGTTCGACTTCGAGGTCTTCCATTTGATTGTGCAGAATCTGAGATTGCTGATTTCTTCCGTGGTTTAGACATCGTTGATGTCTTGTTTGTCCATAAGGGTGGCAAGTTCATTGGGGAAGCTTATTGTGTATTGGGTTATCCTCTTCAAATAGATTTTGCTCTACAGAGAAATAGGCAAAATATTGGAAGGAGATATGTTGAAGTTTTCCGAAGCAGAAAGGAAGAGTACTATAAGGCAATAGCCAATGAAGTTTTTGATGCTCAAGGTGCTTCGCCTCGTCGTGGTGCCCCAAGAGCCAGATCTTATGATGAGAGCAAGGACTTGGCTGAATATAAAGGGGTGTTGCGGTTGAGGGGGTTGCCATTCAATGCCAGCAAGGAGGACATTATGGATTTCTTCAAGGATTTTGTACTTTCTGAAGAGAAAATTCATATGATAGCTAACTCAGAAGGAAGACCGACTGGGGAAGCATTCGTGGAGTTTGCAAGTCCTGAGGATTCAAGAGCTGCAATGGCTAAGGATAGAATGACCCTGGGCTATCGCTATATAGAGCTCTTTCCTTCATCACATGAGGAGTTGGAAGAATCAGCTTCAAGGGGCAGGTGACTATCTTTTACTTTCTTTTCCTTTCTCCTTTGCTCTTTACCTCCTTCTATCCCTGGGTGTCATTGAGTTTTCTTCTCATTGCTAGTTTGAATTCCTACTATGTTGTTTTGGTTGCTACATATTTTCCTACGATGATTAGCTTATATGTTCTGGCTCTTCTATACAGGGTGTATAACACCATTCACACTTGTTTTTCCTTTGGAAATTTGTCTTTACATTTCATATTAGCACATACGTTTCCTGAGTAATCATGATGAATAACATGATTTATGAAGTCAATGCCGATAGTGATGTTCATATGAATCATATCATAATTTATATTGGTTTACACAACTCATAACTTACTCCAAATTTAATATCAGTTTGGCAAAGGCCTTGGCTGGTCTTAGGCAGTCCAATCCTATCATTATAAGACCATTATAAATGCTCGAAAAATTGTCAACATAGCAATTTTATTATTCTCTAGATTGTTGGACTTGGTTTGAAACACTGTGTTGCCACTGACACGCCATTGTGCGATTAGCTTTGATTTACACTTCTGTCAGAAAAATGATAATGGCATCTAATACAGCAATCAATCATCAACATAAAGGGGTTCGAGCTCTCCAGTTTTTTTCTTTTGGGAGACCCCATGAAGGTGGGGAGATTACCTTATAGGAAACCTATATATATATATTACTGACACTTCTACAACTGTATCAATTTATCTGAACTTTAATTCCCTCTGCGACTAAGGGTCGTACATTTTATTTCACAGCATTGTAACATGGGACACCACATGGAAACATTATCCCTCTATGTTCTGTTCTCTTTGTTCTTATAGGGATGGATGTGGTGGGATGGGTTTTATTGTTTGGTAATGATGTAAATCAAGATATTCATGTGTTTTGATGTAGTATATCTGATATTGTAGCTAAACAAATATGTTAGGGCATTGCAACATCCAAAATTATTACTCTGCTCCATTAACTTTGAATGTTTAATGGTGAAATTATTAGGTACCTAAAAGAATTTGGGTCCTCATCCATTGTGATGAAGGCCTTCTACACTAGCAATTGGGTCTCATTCTATCTCTTTTATTTGGTGGAAGAAAACTTTCCTAAGGATATCAAAGTACCATTTTTTGAAATGTATGGAATCTTAATTATCCTTGTGTGTATCATTCATGTGACACCAATATGCCTGATTGTAAGTCTGTATAGCGAAACTGAATTCTATATTTTGAGGTGCAGTTGATATTTGTACAATGATCTAATTTTGTTAATGGAGCGTATAATCTGTTTGCTATATGCCTAATGCCAAAACCATGGCTTGGAACTCGTTTATGGAACATATTCAAAAGGCTCTATGTGATGTCCTTTTTGTACTGGCACGAGTCAGATATTTTTAGGCTGAAATGTTGACCATGTTGTTGCCTATTTTTCCCAGTTGCATGTGAGATATATTGTACGTAATATATGCATATATACGAGGAAAAATACTAATGAAGTTGCTAATAACCCTTCTTATCAGGTTATTACCAAAATCATACGAGGGGAAGGAACTAACTGAACTAACATCTGTATTGCGAATGAGGGGATTGCCATTTTCAGCTGGCAAAGATGACATAATCGAGTTCTTTAAGAATTCTACTTTGTCAGAAGATTCAATTCACATTACCTACAATTACGAGGGAAGACCTACAGGAGAAGCTTTTGTGGAGTTTGCTAGTATGGATGATGCAAAAGCAGCATTGGCTAAGGATAGGATGACACTTGGAAGTCGTTATATAGAGCTATTTCCATCGTCAGTTGACGAGATGAATGAAGCAGTTTCAAGGGGACGGTGACAATTTCAGCCTTGTTTATTTGTTCTGTACTTCGATATCCTCAATGCCACTAAATGTATGAAATTTGTGCTTTAGTTTTTAGCTAAAATGTGATAAACCTTTGTTAGAGGATTCTAGGAAAATAGATGCCATTACCCTGAATTTTGATACTTATTTGCAGCTGCTATGTGCCTCTATCATATGACATTCGCTTGGTGTTTGCATTCGAATGGTTGTTTAAATCCCCTAATTCGAACCTACAACATATTTTGTTTAAGTTATTGGAAATGTTCGACCTTGGATGGTATTAAAAAGAAAATATTAGTTAAAATTTTGTTCATTATATTGTCATGTCATATTCATATATTATACCTGATACTAGGTACAAGCAACGTGCAATGTACGTTTGCTTTGTTTATATTTAATATTTTTGTTTAATAATTAATTTGTTATTAATAAAGATGTAATTTTTTTTGGTTAATTAAGGGCGTGTTTGTGTGCCCTGCAAGGAGGAAGGAAAATTGATTATGTTAC